ATACACTATAACTGAAATATTTTAAATAAATTACAATATTGCTTTTATTGATTTTTTTAAATACAAAGCTATATTGAAGATAATTTAGTAACAGCTTAAATAAAATTGTTTTTATTTGTGCACTCATGATATATCAAGAATTAATTTAAAAGATATTTTATAGGTATCTATCATAACAATTAGTATATGATATTACCCTATCCAAAACTCTAACTCCGGGAGAAAACAATTAGTCAGCTGACCCCAGCTCACGCGATGCTTTCATAAAAGTTAAAATTAACAGTCGTTTGTTTTACTAACATGTCTTTTGTTATACAAATATACATATTTAAAAACTATAAAAAACTCTTTAAAGAGTCTGCCTTATATAGTAATGAAAATGAAACTTTTGTTCGTGTTTTTAAGAAATAAATTTCAGTTTTTTTTAGTAACAAAATTATATTATTTTTAAAACTTCATGAACTAAGAATATGTTACAGAATATTGCAGAAAATTTATTTCTATAAAAACCAAAGAGAATGGATGATAAAACCCCGACGCTAATTAAATGGACCCGAGTCGTCTTCTTAATAGATTTGTCGCTAATATATAATAATATCGAAATTGGAAGATAATTAAAAATATTATTTTGGAAACATTTCGCAAAAAAAAAAATATTTTGTATAGTATATTAAATACATCAATTTAAACGCGTTCAAAAATTTCAAAAAAAATATATATAATGAAGTTTACGGTTTACGGAAGCAAATAAACCAATTAGCGTGACCTAGAAAAGGTTGGAAGTGCAAAAACCGCTATAGATTAGATACAACATGGTACATTCTAGTTGCAATTCATCATTATTATTCCAGACAATTTATCAAGCGGTTGGCTCGCCTCTCCCGACCGGATCGCACATTCTAACGAGATGCTGAATTTTCACCGAATAATTTCCGAACCGACGAATCACGTATTGGAATCCGAAATGAGGTCGAAATTGAGATAGAAGACTTGTACATGGTTTAGAACTAAAGAGTATTTTTGGTTATAGAGCTATGTGAAAAATTTAAGTGTTACGAAAATTATGTAGAAGCTTAAGACTTATTTTACTGAGCGGTATATTACATATATACAAATTAGTGGGACATATTGAATGTCACTCGAGTGTCTATGAATCGAGGGTTGATATTATTAGGACTTATTACATCCACTCTATCATATTTCAATTTACGATCGTCACCCGGTCTTATCGACTAGAAAAATCAGGGGTTACTGCGAATACTGATATAAATCATAAATTAGACGTCTCATTACTGTAACGCGATTTATTTTCTTGCATGATTTATATTGAGCTCATTAAATGTTGATAAAAATATATAAGAGAAATATAAATATAACTTTATTTGAATAAAATTCGAAACTTAGCCGGCATAATGTGGAAATTTTAAGTTGAACAGGCGTTAGATAAGTCCGAGGCAAGAAAATGCTTGGAGGGAATAAGAAAGTGGTCCTAGTTGTTAAGTCTTGTACAGTTTCCACCGCTATCTCTTGGATAAGCAGCCTAATCACCAGTCGTCGGTTCTCTATCGGGCCGTCAGGCGAGCGCGGCCATCCCCAGGGTACGCTTTTGGAACCGATTTACTTTTTGGTTTACATTACGGTGAAAGTGTGTCGGATTTTTTCGTTACGTCCCATTTTGTATGCTGATTTGACTCATTGTTAGATAACACTAGAAATTTTTGTGTCAAGTTAAAGCTTAAAGATAAATTTTAATAATTTCAAGATACGTTTCTCACTTGTAAAAGTAAGTAAAACCTATTAATAAAGACTTATGAAGCTATCGAAACTTTGGCGGAACAGCATACCTGTTCGGGTCGCGCACCAACAAACTTAGGCTTGCAAACTATTTGTAATATAAATTTATCGTTCCTGTTAACAACTTACTGTAGAAGTTGGTGTTATAAATGCATACAATCTTATCCTTTACTTAGTGGTAATTTGAGTGCATAGGTGTTTTATCACAACTTTCTCTTATTAATTGTATAAATGATGAACCGACCATATTAATTAAAATGTCAAATAATAATGTTTTTGAAGTGAAATCTATAGTTAAAGTTAGCAGTATTAAAACGTAATAGAAGATTCAGCCGCTCAGAAACAAATTTATTTGGCGAAAAGAAAAGAGAGGCGCACGGCGCCGCGGCGTATCTAATGAGATAATATAATAGCCGTGATTCTCTCCTACCACTGTTCACAGGACCAAAAATTACCGGAAAACTGCACAGAAACCCTCGGTTTTAGAACGTTACATTTCCCTAATGTAAAATTAGAATTTTGGGTTTTCGAGTATATTTTTCTTTGCGGTCTCTTAAAAATACAGATACGGGACTTGCGGTACTGTTGAATGGGAATCATTTTGATACGTCTGACGTATTTTGATTTAAAAACATTATCATTGTAAAAATTTGATTCGTTGTGGATAAAATTGTGATGGTTATTTTCGTAGTAACAAGCAAGAGGGTCATATCGAATTGGAAATCGATTTTGTCGCACCCGAAATAGGGTGTAAAGATCCCATTGTATATACATAGATGTCAGCCATATGTCGACTAAGCCAAACTTTACTTTTTACTAGAAAAATCATATACTCAATTACCGAGGAATGTTAATCTAAACAAAAACGATCGAGTTATCTGTTTGTAATCAATTGAAGGGCCCAATAACAAACATTCTAATGTATCATCTAATCCGTTAATAAGTATTCCAGACACAATATGCTATCGACATAGCTGAATGCACCCCTCGGTCAGCGAACGTTTTAAATTCAAGCACGACAAAACATCTTAATCATTACGCTTCATAAAACCCTTAAGTGATTGCATAGAAGGGACAGCTTGCGTGGGTTCAAATTGATTTCGAAAGTCCATCTTCTAAAGTACCTACCTGCACCCTATCGATATTGTGATTGTAATTGTACCTTCATATATTGAATAAAATTTTGAGGGTGTACTATCATAAATTGATTTAAAACTATACACGTTTTGTTCAATATTACTTTCTTTAAATAAAATTTTATACCCTAGGATATATAAAATATCAATAACATATCAACATATGCAATCAATACATAGAATAGCAATAATCATTATATAAATAATATAAAAATAAACTATAACTTTAAAAATTACATTTTTAAAGTCATGTTCGAAAAAAGTGTTCATGTAAAAAAAAATCATGGAATAACAGGAACGCATAAGTTAATAGTAGAATGGAGCGCGGGCAGAGATAATGAAATTGTGTACAGGAGCGCAACGAGCCGCGATCGTGTCTCGGGCAAAAATCCACTTAACAAATTGCTGCTGATTCGTAGGGTTCAGGATTGTTGCCTGCTTTTACCGGAGCGTCAGTTATCGATACTCTAACCATCTAACGGTTTTCGCGTTTTCAACTGCCGTGTTTTAACATCCAACGTTATGTATATTAAATTAAAAATGATCTAATATTGCTTCGAGTTTGTATTACGGTTAAAAATTACCGTATTTTTTTGCATCTACACACTGCAGTCTGCATGTTAAACTTATCCTAATAAAAAGTCAACGTGACTCTAAACTTTTAACGCTTAACAAGATTTCAATGGCTGTGTTACCGAAGTTATACAAGATATTTAACAAATATTGCTTAATTTAAAATAAAATTTTTGCTAGTGTTCACATTTTAAAAACAGCTTGTCAACATTATCCATATCATATATTATGTGTCACAAAAGTTAATAAAAAAAGTTAAGTTAATTAAAACTGTATATCATAAAAAATAATTAAAACAAAGGGTGTCTTTAAAAACTTTGTACAAAAGCATGATAATGAATTCGGTGCCGTCGTTTCGCACGCAATTGCACAATTTCAATTATCGCATTAGTTTGCGAGTGTAGGTTTCATGGGCGAGGCTTCTGATGAATTAATATTCCATGTAACATATGTACCTAATTTGTCATAGATTATTATAGAACAAAAATTTCCCGACAATGATATTGTAAAATGTATAAATAAATTGGTAGCGTATTGTTCTTAATTATTGATGAAGTATATAATAAGCAATGAATATTCATCTGAAGCTGTTTAAATTTTTCATGCTCCTTCATTATGAATAACTCGTATGGAGTTTAATTTAGACACATCAAACGGAGTATCGCAAGTATATTTTTGGTTGCAAAATTTCAGGATCAACTTCATGCCCCGTCGAAAAGCAAAGGAAAGTTTGCGCACAAAGGCTGTCATTGATTTTTTTTTGTTACCTAGGTACAAAAAATTTTGAATCGAACGAATTACGAAACCGACAAACGAATTGTTAGGGCTGTCAGAGTAACACGTAAATGTGAATTGATTTAATTTCAAGCATTTTCTAAAAATTTATAGACATTATCACTCTTTTATAATTTATTGTTCACTATTTTATCATTATAATGTTTTTATTTCAACAAAAAATTTATTGGACATTGAGTAAGTAGGAATATTCAAAGTGTAAAAAAAATTGTCAACAGAAGTTCTGTAACCCAGATATCGGTGTATATTTCAAATTTCCAACCCTGTATTGCGATATCGAACGATGTTCGGAACGGGAGACGCCTATCTCAATTGAATTCCCGAAAAAGGACACGAAATAAAAGCACCAGGCCCTACCCTCACCTTTGGATAGTGCTCAGTCCATTGAAATTTCGATATTTGTCAGCCTGATTAGCTCCACGTTCTATCGAATGAATGACTCAGCGTGAGATGTGAGGCAATTTGGGCGGTTGGAAAAAACAGTGGCTTAGCCAAACAATAACATCGTCCCATTGATTGCCGAAACGAAATGTTCATTAACGAAAATTAAAACGCTTTGTAAATATTATTATCGTACTCATTGGTATTATGACAATGATTTTTATGGGTAATGAAATTACCATTATACCGATGGAATTGATAAATCTTTGGGTATCAAAATAAAAATGTTAGGTTCTTGGTTCTAAGAAATATATGACTCACCGATCTATGATAACAGGGTCTGATGGCGTTTCGTTTCTATTGCCGCAACTTTTCTTATCACAGCACCGACTGCAAAACAAAATTTTATTAAAAACTCTGTAACAAATGAAATAGATTACTCTTCATTTTTCCTATACAAAATCGCATGTATAAAGTATAAATTACAAAATAATTTTAGTTATAAAAATGTTTACAATAAAACAGAACCGTAACAGGGAAGCCTTATCTACATTAGTTGAACGATGTTCATTGCAAGCGCCCTACCGCGGCTCCTTGACGCAAAGGGCAAAGACATTGAAAGGACAGACTCCCTCGAGACTCCTCCCCTGAAGACGAAAGGTGGAAACAGGACGCACATATTAGACAACACGGGATGGAGATATTACGTCTAAGGTAGAATAAAATTTTAATTGCTCACACAGACAAGGTTTATTGTCACAACAATAACACACATGCGTGAAGCGGCGAGACGAGTCGCGACCGGAAAAATCACCCCCAAACAAATGGCTAAATTAATAAAGACATTCACTTCTTGTTCGCAACGTTTGTTTCTAGACTTTTGTAATTACCGTCAGCGGGATTGAGTTTGAAATATTACGCCGCAAATGAAGCGCTTTGTTTACTGAACCTCCGTGTCACAGCCTTCGTATGTTGTGTGTTTAAAATTAACGTTTACTTTAATATATGGATTGTAAATTTCATTATACACAGCACACAATTTTTTATTTTCTTTTGACTTTTATGTAGGTAGTATAATTTATATTTACTTTAAATGTCATTTCTGAGAAATGACGTAACCATTTGATATCATCAATTATTCTCAAACTGTTCTGTCAATATTCTAGGAATGACAAGCATAATTTTGCTAATATTTTTGAAAAATGATTACTTCTTAGAGCCATAGCTTTTATACTCGAATGTAGTATTATAATTTCTTTTTCTTATATTTTCTTATACTTCTCAGAATAATATTGTGGGTGCATTCAATATATGTAATATCTTAATGATATGGAATGTATCAAGATTGTGAAGCAATAATAGTTGATAGATAAAATTTGCTACTCCTTTCCACATTATATGTGATCGATAAAATGTATTCATCTGTTTTATTTTGGCTCATGGTATTAACAATTAATAAAGTAATAAAATCGATATAAATATTTAGTAATATTTGTATTCGTACATACCTGCACATAACTTCATGCGTGAGAAGGACTCTGCACATTTCAGGATTTTTGTCTTGACCTTCATATACGATGGGCTGGAAACAAAAACACTGTCAGACCAAAATGAACTTTATTACTTTAAAGAGAATATCTACTTTTAAAAATTGAATCTTCCTAATTCTGATTCATAGACACGAACAATACATGCCATAAAAATATATATTTGGCTTCTATTTTTATTTCTGTTATAGTTATACCAACGCCATAACTTATAACACCCATAGTCTATTACATTTATTAAATTAATTAAAAATCTGCTTTGAGATAAGATAATTTTTCGTCTTCATCAAGTTATTGCTTTTTGCTAATTTATGCACCCTTTCATACATAATCGGGCTTTATTATCTACGCCAAATACATTTGCATAGATCCTAAATGAAGCTTTTATTTTGTTTTTATTTTTAACTATCAGTTTGCACGCAACTGTTATAGGTAGTATATCGTAAAATATTTACGATATTAATACATTTAAAAGGTTTATAACTTATGTATAAGAAAATGTAAGAGTAATGAAGGACCATAAAATTGTGAAAAAAATATTTAAATGCAATTTATTCAGCTTTTATGAATTACGGAATTGTTAATGTCAAAAATTTCTTATTAGATTACTTGCAATCAATTCCATAACTATTCCTTGTAAATTCCGTTCCCTTGCCTTAATGTACACGTGTTCGTTTATCTATTAATATCTTATTACTGATAGCCTCGGGCTGTGGATAATCCAGATACATGTTATTATATAGGGTCATATAGAAACGGTTCTAAAATATAATTGGTATCAAGCAAATTAAGGGAATAAATATTTTTTTAATACTATCCAATATCCGAGACTTTGCCCGATTCGTTTGATATATTACTAGAAAAATAACTAAAAAAGTGATAATAAAAATCATGTTATAGGAATTGTATCGAGACACAAAAATATTTTTTACTGGTAAACAGTATCAAAAAACCGTAGTGTCTCAAAAGCAAATGCTAATATCTTTCGAACCGAAACTCTAAAAAATTTGCTTCCAGAATCCCCACATCCTTAGATAGATTTTTCGTCCCTTACAAAAATATTTAATTGAATATGAAATAGCTGGGTATTATCATCTTTTGTGCAACGGATTTAGTGGGATTGTGTATGAAGGGTGTTTTGTAATAAGTATTTAAGGGTCATAGGAAAGTATTTAAGGACCAGCTAAATAGCTTGGGGATGAACAGCTTAAATCGGAGTAGCATCAGGTGTGAGATGACACATTTAAGACCCTTAATGTTCTGTATTATATCAAATATATTCACATTTCGTTGGAAATCGTAATGAAAAAAAAACATATCTTTTAAACAATTCACACAAAAATAGTCTCAGAGCTATTTGTTTGAAATAAAGGAAAATAGTAACAGATTGCTTAGGAAATCGCATGACCAAGTATTAGTCATTAGCGATACTATCCCTGGCTAGCATTTTTCAAGTTCAGGAAGCAATCCCGCGGGAATCCGTGTGGCCATCAGCGTCGCAAGGGATTCAATCTCATGGGAATTTCTTATATCAATAAAAAACTACTCCTGTATTATGACCAGATTCAATTTTTATACAAATATATATGTATATACACCATATTGCCACTCACGTTCTATGTAATAATATAAATATTTCAAAGTTTTTGAATTAATTATTTTAATTTATCTCGAGTCCAACAAACTTTTTCTTACAAACTTATTTCAATAAAATAACAAAAACAACAGAAGAGCAAGAAAAATAAGGAAGCAGACACAATGAAGGCAAGAACAGTGATTTATACATTTGCGACAACGCTGGCTGTGATATTTTTGTTATTGTACTTGCCTCGCCAAATGTATGAAATATTTTATATTGCGTACTAAATTATGTCAAAATATATATAGAGAAAGTTTTGAATTGAAGGCACTTTTTAAGTTTATATAACTAGTCTTAAATTTAAATGAAAAATAATCAATCTGAACGTGGGTACAATGATTAAATCCGACTGGCGTCTAAAATGGCTTCCGAAAGTCATTTTCTCAACAAAAGTACCAAATTAATATGTTGTTTGAACATTGTTAAGTAAACACAATCATTTGGCCACGTGCGCGCGCACGCTTCTTTATTCAAACATGGTGCTTTCTATGGCTGTTCTATGGGATTTGCCAGAATCTCATTTCGTATAGCACGAGTTAGTATCTTAAGAATATGTTCAAACAGAGGGTTACTTAGATTGATATTTTAGATATTGATATGATAGTGATTTAGTGTGTGAATACAAATAAAACTTTGTGTAGCGGTTCCAAAGTTAAATTACATGATAATTTATCATTAATACTATATTTTATTAAACAAAATATATCCAGTTTTTACTTTCTAATTTAGCTAATACGTCATAAACATCTACCTGAAAGAGTAATCCATCTCTGCTATGCTATTAACTTAATATTATAAAGAACTTAACTCGAGTTACTGCGTTTTAATAGTATTCGAAGATAATTTTTTGTACATTGCGTGCGTTGTTCGCATGGCATTAGTTGATTGGCAGTGTGCCCTCAGCATAACGATTTAATACAATTAAATGAACCGCAACTATCAAACGCCATCTTCACTTACCGAATGACTATTTTGCGTGTACCATTTGATGATTGCAACTAAAATTAATTTTAAATGAGATGAAATTAATATATCATAATATAACTTTGTTATTGTAATATGAATATATAAATATAATACGGTTTATATAAAGTTTATGTAACATGACAAGAAACATTGCACTAGTGTGTACAGTCATACGCACAATTCCTTTCTTAGTTAACGTTCGGCCTAAGTTAATTATGTTCACGGCATAAATCTTTCGTAATTGGCCTCCTGTTACACAACACTAAGAGCTCGGGACGTGTTGAAATTATATATGTGAGGTACACTGAAGTTTCATGATGGCTTTACGGTAAAATTGTTATTTATGTAATAAACGGGACGTGATAATTGTCTTCCGTATACTCCTTTGTAAGCCTTTGTTACGATAGCTTTGTTTATTTTGAATAATATCAATCATTTTACTAAATTATATTTTGATATTGTAGGAATTTCCGACGCGATTGTACTGTTTGCTTAAGGAATTTGATTAAAATTCATATTTATATCATTTAAAATAATAAAACTCGAAGTTTGGTTCTAATTTAGAAGGATATTTATATCTCATGTTTCAACAATCAGATTTGGGGATTTGCAACCCTTCTTAATACTGTCAATCAAGTTTCAAATTTACTGTATCGTCACCTAAAATATAATTCCTTAAACCAATATAAATAAATATATCATATAAATAATATATGTTTTTAATTTTATATCACTTATACTAGGTATATATAATTTTGAAAATATTAACAATCATTCAGCTGATTGATATTTGCCTGCAGTCTTATTTATTTATTTAAAGTATTACTTTCATTTTAAAATAATTATTATAATAAATTAACAGCAATTCCACACTAAGCCTCACAACTACAACTTATAAGCAAGAATAATAATAACCAAAGTCTTAACTGACACAAACATTTTCTCTTTGCATAATATATGAACGTTTTCTATGCTTAAAATGCATGAATATTTCTCGACGGTACAACAGAATAAAATAAGCAATTCAGTGAATTAAATTCATATAATATTTCAAAGTTTACAAAAGTAATAATAATTTTAATATTTTTGAAATATTTAATAATTTTCTTACGAATATTAGTGACGTAAAGCTTTCCAAAGTGATAGATGTTAAGTGAAACCATATATAGATTGTTATTTTTTCCTAATATGACAAATAGCATAGCATTACTATCCCATGAACATAAAATAGCAACAAAATCCGATATCAACTAAAGTATAATTTCGTTGACCAAGGGGCGTGTGGATTAACGTAATCGGTTCGCGATGACAATCTGCCGCGTGCTTGCCGCGTGCCTGCCGCGTGCTCGCCGCGTGCCCTACTGATTGAGGTGGGCTTGTGTGCGAACATGCCTGTAGAGCTCATTGCTTTTAATAAGCTTGCGTTTTGTTCCTGCTGTTATGATTTGTATAAAATCTTAATAATATTTTACTTGTGTAAAATTCGTATTCAATTACCGTTAATTTATTTAAATATTTATGTATTTTTCTACTAAAGCTTGTATTTAGATCTTGGAATAAGGGCTAAAAATATTACCTGCTTCGTGACGGAATCTATCAATCGAACGAAAATGTCCTGCTCCTGTCGAATACCTGGACAAAAAAATATATAATATCATTATATTAAATAATAAAAAGGGCGAATTTACAAAGAGTCGAAAGCAAAATATTTTTAATATTTTTATAATAGAATAGACTACCACAAGTAATATTTATTAAAATGAACTTAACAAAATAAAGTATAATTTATATAAGTCTATAAATACAGCGTAAAGTTTAACAAGGAACTTCGAAAGGCATTCCCTAATTTGCTCCGTGTCGCGAATAACCTCTTCGTCCTACAAAATTAAAATAACACGGAGTGAAATAAAAAGCTAAATAATTAAATTAATTTCAGCTTATTAAATCTGTGCCGGTTAGGGATGAAAATGAAAATTTTGGGTACATTTTTGGTTAAATATCAAATGAGTCTTATGGGGGAAATTTTACGGGAGTTAAGTCTTAACTTTGATATTATATTTTCATTAATATAAAGTTAACAAGAAATTACACAAATTTTTATATATTACACGAAATCTTAATAACAGATCTTTGAACAATTTATCTCAGGGGTTAAGTACAGGAAGTTTAATTCGATTGACATGTTGCTTTATTTATGTGTGATAAATTATTTAAGAAATATTACATTACAAACACGCTGTTATTGAAGTTCAATTTTCTATTCTTGAAATAACTAATTTGCAAAGTCTTCAAAGAAAAAGAGATCTAATATTTTTCCTTCAAAAAGACTGTCGTCATAGTCTAGTTGACTTGATAGGTGTACTTCATAATATTGGTCTATATTATGTTTTATTCATCGTAAGCCTTAGAAGCAGACAAGGAATATTCATAGTGCAAGATGTTGTCGATTCTCAGCCAATTTTCCATTATCTCTCCCTAATGGTCAAGACGGCAAATATTTACTATGCGTCCAATGTATGCATTGTCTCCTTGTTGAATACAAAATTATACAGCTCTTGTAGACCGTCAATAATTAAATCTTAATAATTATTATACTGAAGAGATAAATTACTTATGAAAAAAAATAACCAATAAACAAAAATGTCAAATTATTTGAACACTAACAATATCTTGATTGTATTTTTTTATTGAAATACCAAAATTTTGTCTCGTAAGGCGTTTTTATTTTGTCATATTATAACTTCATTTGTTTTAAAAGTGTAAATAATTTACCTTAATAATCCTACTTACCATTAGCGTAAAGTAACTGTAATCTGTACTGGATACCGTTGTTTGTCTTTTGGCCTTCCGCTTCCTAAAACATAATACAATATTAAGAAAATATATTGCAATTAAATACTATACTTTAAGCTCCAATCCTCTAATTTTTTTTAATAACAACATTTATATATTTAGTGTTCAACATTTGGGATAAATGTAGAAGGTGATAAAAACGGCGCTTCTAAAGGTTAAACAAAACACAGAAACGCCACGCCATCAATAATTAATAGCCACAAACAAGACTCATCGCTCTACATGACGGCTAAACGCTTTCATAGTTTCACTGACAACTTTACGTAAAAAAAAGTCTACAACAAAAAAACAAAGACTAAATGTGTCACGCGATCTGTAACTTGTACTTAATAATGTTGTACTCATAAAATAAAAATTCTTTAAATGTATATATCAAAATTAACTAGTCAGTAATTACACAAGTACTGTTATTATTAACTAAGCAAGGTATATGTTTTTTAAAGCATGCTAGGTTTACATCCAGAAGACTGCAACTTAATGAAACTCTGTTTGGCTTAGATTTTATTTTGTATTAGTTTTAAGTCAGTTTTGTAAACTTAAATAAGAAAAAGGTAGATACTATATATTTCCAAAAATATTGATTTAAATATAAAAACCAGATTTTTTATTACAATTGAATCTCAAAGCATACATCTGAGACAGAACAAACAACATTAATTTAACAACGCCACCGACGTGGCTGAATTATGTAAATGGACACAATACAGCGTCAGACTATCCTGATTGATGGACTGATTCTGATCATATCAACATGGATTTAATGATAAATGCATCATTAAAACTCACATAGAAAGAAATCGGAATAATCTCGTCGAACATAGCCTTTGTGTTGTACACGCTTTGCATATTAAATTTGTTTATTATCTTCAATATCTTTTGCAGTATATAAGAAATTATGTCATTTTATTGCGTGATTATTAATAATTTTATTGATTCTTAATGTAATTATACCTGATCCTTTTCGATGAACCCTATAAAAGCTGTTCGTTCTATTTCCACGGGTTGTCCAGCTCGATCGTATAAAGCAACTACGAAGTGAAAGAAGTTGCTCTTGCGCAGGTTGCTTGGCGGTTGTTTCTCGAAGTGTGCGCGGCCAACACCCACCGTACTGTATTAAACAATAAAAATATATTACAAAATACCAAATCAAAAATCAAAATCTGTTGTCAAAAATGCATCATCATGTTTAGAAAGAAAGCATAATATAATATTAAAAATATTTACGTCTATACTAAAGTTTGATTGTGCTTTTATGAAAAAATAAAAATAAATAGTTAAATTTTTTTTAGTATCTTTAATATTACTTAATACAATTTTCGATAAACTATACGCAGTACCGCGATTTTTTTTATCATTTTAAGAGTTACAATGATAACAAAATTTGCAAAAAATTTAAAATTTACATTTAAATTCAACCAAAAAAAAAATTTAAAGCCATAAATAATATAGATATCATTCAAAGAAACCACAAACGTGCAAACCATCTTTCCATCTATTGAAAGATATACTTGGTCGTAAATTTAAAATTCCAACAGACTTGTCCTTATTTTCCCGCTATTTGTCAACAGACGGAGACATTCTCAACGTTATTATTATGTCATAACAAAACAAAAGTCTGTAATCCTTTAGAAATTGAATAGATACAGTTATTGCAAATAATTAAGAATCTCTGTTCCGTTCGTCCATTTACAGAAAAAAAAATACTTTAAATATACCTATGCATGTAATGATGCATTGTAAGTATATTGTAATATAAATATAAACAAAATATATTTATTTTGAGACTATATTATACATATTTAAATTCATCTCATATTGACTCAGTAGAACAGATGTAGCGATATAATAAATCTTTATAGAGAAAAGTATCGACAAAGTGACGACGAGTATATGAAGCCACACATATCGACATGTGGCGTGTCGATACAATCTTGATCTTAATTCCGACCTTATTGCGAAAAGTATAAAGGATAAATTAGATTGTTCGTTAAACAGGAACTGTAAGTACGTCCAAATACTAGAGTTTCAAATATACGTATTTCATCAAATCTTCCTCGCAGTTACTCATTGTTGCATTGGACATTAGGGTAGTGATGTCCAACCACAATATTAAAGAAATTTCTTTTTTATAATTGGAACATTTTTTTATTAATTTAACATATTGTTTGTGACACAATTAAATTCAACAAGTTATTATTCTACGGATAGGACGATTTGTGAACAAAAATTTACAGGACTCATTATTTTATTGTTATTCTCTATGGCTTCTTATCTGTAAAATTTTATCTATTCGTATTATATAATTGTAATTTATATAAAAGAAAATTATATAATACTTAGAAAATTACAATTAAATGTACATTTCATTCAATTACATATAAATAAAGTCATCGATAGTATAACATAGACAACACCAGCCCGTATTGCAATGGTCGCCATTCATCTCACAGCAGAATTTGCGTAAACAAATTGGTTTCGCGATTGCCATTTTATACTCCCGTACTCCATTGTTTTATTTATCACTACAGTTTCGGCAACGCGCCCGCGATTAGGTTGTAGCGCTTTTTTGCTTACAGATCGCTGTAGATTTGTCAATCTTTTTTTTTTTATTGGATATAAAAACTTTTTGCTACAAAACTTTTAATCTATAACACCAGTGTTTTAGCAGATACAATGTCTTATAATATTTCTGTCAATAGAAATACATACAACCTCTTTTTAGATCGAGATAGATTTTATCTAACGACATTTTGTCGTTTAATATGTTAATTAACAACATAATTCAATTTACGATGTTATAATATCTGACCATTCTCCATACAAATGACTCTGTCATCAACCCTAGACATCCATATTTTTCAAATTCACTGTTGATGACGAAGTACTATTAAGTTGATTAATACGATTACGGCCTAAATTAATTTGATTATCAACAAAACACAACGAATCATAGTATACTATAGTAAATTTGAACTACTATTGAATAGAAATCTTATGAAAGAATCATATACATTTTATACGTGTTATTTTCTTATAAATACTTACCCTCTATACGTTATTAAATCTATAATTTAAATGTAGGGTTCTTACTTATTAAATATTATATTATACAGTACACACGGAACACACAGTTAAAATAAATATAGCATCTAAAAGCCGACAGATGCGTACCCTCAGCAAACAATGCTGCTAATTCGAGTATCAATACATCATATTATGCGGAACCAAATGCTGGCACAACTTCATTACTGTAACACAAACATTATAAACTGTTGGTGTTGTGCAAATTATTGTATATAGAGTACATATGGTTGTATTATAGAGAAAAATTATTGAAACAATGAATAGTACTTTCTAAGAGTATTTAGGTACCACTGACAGACGGTGAAGGAAAACATCGTGAGGAAACTTGGGCTTATAATTTCAATATTATAAGTTTGAAATCACCAACCCGTCTTAAGCAAGCGTAGTGATTAATGCTCAAACCTGCTACATGTGAGAGAGAGGCCTTTGGTCATTAGTGGGCTCTGATAGGCTGATGATGATAACGACGAATACTTCTAATTGATTGGTAGTACTCGTAGCAGAAGAAATTGAGTAACATGTTCATACTTTATATGTATTCTATTTGTATAATACTTATGTATATACATTTTATATAGTAAATAATTGATGATAACCGTATTAACATGCAACTATTCCGGTATAATGTTATATCTATATTGAAAATTTTAATTTATAGACCATTCATTATCGCAAGCGAGTCCGCCCCGTGATGATTTATCACGCCCTTCGTTTATGAACACTTGGTTTCATTATCGCCTGTGCAAATTTCCAACCTGATTGGACCCCATATGCGGTTATTACGTTATTGTGTACCATGTTCTGTGGAAGTACTAATTTACACTGTTTAAGTTATATGAATGGTACTACGGCACCTACATACAATACACTTTACTAATATTATAAAGTAAAAAACACTTATATTTTTATATATATAAAGTTAATATAATGACTGCTTTTCAATACAAATTCTTCTATCACTTAAGTATTAAGTATAAATAAACGACAAATATTCCTTTATCTTCTATATATATAAAAATGGATTGCTGTTCCTTAGTCTCGCTAAAACTCGAGAACAGCTGAACGGATTTATCTTATCTTAGTCTTGAAATGTTCGGGGAGTTTCAGGGAAGGTATAAAAGCTGGATTTTTTTATTAATTACTGGGAAAATCATAAAAACAGCACTTTTCTATTTTCCATACAAACGTTTTTTTTGACATTAGATTTGACAAGTAACTAATATGTCAATCATTCTGTCGCACTTCAAAACATGATACTTCTTGATTATAGGGCGACACGAAGTTCGCCAGGTCTTCTAGTAGTGTATAAAAATTCTTGTAAAATTGTGATAGTTTATAATATTTAATTTTATTATTCTGTAACTACATACGTAGTCTATTATCCGTTTAAATATAACCACGATACAAATAACATTCTACGTTAACACGAACACCCTAAGCCATTGGCATTAATAAGCCAGTTAGTGGCTGAAAAGAGCATTCTGATTATTTGAGGCAAATCGCGTTAGATCGGAAATGTAAAGCAAACAAGTGTATTGGATTAGGAGTGCATTAAGGGTACAGGCGCACTTGTTAAACTTGATGTAACATTATTTATTTTTATATTTACCTCTATATATAAAATCATATTTATGTTTCTAAGTGAGGTTAAAATATACGTAAAATTTTATAAGTCATTTCGTTTCTTTACATTTGATTCAGAGAGTGATGCTCATTAATCTTCTACTTACTTTGTATTGTCTACTAGTGAAGTCGGTGTCATCCAAGCCCTGGTGAGAGGTTCTTCCTTCAGCGAGGTGACTGGCCCTCGAGGCTGAGCGTGGACCCCCTCCTGATGAAGCCCGAACATTAGGCCCCCTGAATATTGTATATATTAGTATATCATACCTTATTAATCGACTTCGAAATAGGAGGTCCTATATTCAAATATTAAGTGTAAAATAATTTCTACATAAATATATATATATATATATATATTTGAGATATAATTGAGACGTTAAGACTTTTCATATATCATTAAAAAAAATTATTTAATGAGGCTAAATCGATAATTGTTTTTTTGAAAATCTTTTTTTATATATGAATGAATTTAACTCATAAGACTAAGAAAATCATTAAATACCTACTTGTAAATAAACTAGCTATAATATTATATATTTTATATTTTTAATTTGTCATTCAATATATTTGAAGAGTATTTTTAACAGCGAGACATAAACAATAAACAATAATTTATTTGTTGGTTTCTAAAAAAATTGGTTTTGAATAAATAACTATTAAAAAATATAAAATTCTATAATTTATTTCAGACATAAAAACCACAATTATATCTTATTCTTAATTAAATTTATAATAAATACAATACTATCCAATTATGTATTTTTGTAAATACATATATGTATGTTCCACAGTAAATTTGAAAATATATATTCATTCAAAAAAGCAAAATTAAAGTTATACATTGTATATTCTAACCAGAATACTTTTTAGAATTCTACAAAAAAAAAAATAAGTCTATAAATTATATGATTATATATTGAGAAACTTTCAAATCATTTTTATGATTTTTTGACAAGAGAATATTATACAATAAATAATAATAGAATTACAGAATTAATTGTATTTAATTAACAAATTCAAATAATGTAATTGGAATTTAATGATATAAAGAATTAAGTTTAAACTGAATTATATGGTGTAAAATGAACAGAATGTCTTATTTACAAAAAATACAAATTAAATTTCATCATACATTGCTTTTTCAGAAAATTATTATTGATATAAAAATAATTATTTTAAGTAATTCAGGATTAAATAAATGAGAGTCATGATATCAACTTTTATAAATATGTAAGTCGTTAAAATTCTTTTAATTTAATTTAATTAAAATAATTAAAATAGTAAGAGACTTAATAGATGTAGGTATTGATAACAAATAACAAAAAAAATTACATAGCTAAAGTTACATTAGTTATTATAATTTTGTGAGTTCTTTTATTGTTGTTATTATTTAATAAAGCATAGAAAAATAAATAAAAATATTTTCAACTATGTACTTCAACACGTATTTATTCATGGCTTTTTTTATTTTTTCTCATTTAAAAGTAAAGAAATTAAAACAATTATTATGTTTTACAGACACATACATTATTTTCAGATTCAGTATGTCTGAAATTTATGTTCTATTTATTCACAGCTCAACATAAACTGGACTATACACTGCGCTCCTCACTCGTAGCTCAACATAAATTGGTCAACAGATAGTTGTATTCATTTGTAGCTCAACATAAATTGGACGATACAAAGTTGTGTTCGTTCGTGGTTCAAAATAAATTGGACGAAATAATGTACTGTTTATACATAGGTCAAGTTATAATGGTCGAGCAATGTTATGTTTAGTATGGGTGGTAGTGTATTGGTGGGTTCTATGTTTGATATATGGTTATCAATACCTGATGACCTGGGGGCTCCAGTGGGGTATAGTTTCCTTCCCCATCCGACCGGGTCGAGCTCCAGCGGCGGCCACGGCGAGCCGGTGTACCCGCCCGCCGCCGCGTTCAACTCGTCAGACCGAATCGCGACCGAACAAGCGCGAGCCCCACAGGCTCGGCGACAATCACTAATACGATACTACTATATATACAGTTAGACTTTATAATATTATCCGCGCACTATGTTCATGTTAGAAATATCACACGAAAATAACACTGATATTAATAAAATAAAACACTTGTATCAATAAAATATTTATAGAAATAAAATCTGAATAATATTCAAGTGTGTTAGGCGAGCGTGTTTCGTGTTATCGTTATCGTAGTGGGGTGTCCCGATAGTGCGGGCGATCCCGCTGTGGATTTGCGGAGCACTAACAAGCGTCGCGGGAACAGGCCGCGGAGTGCTCGAGCTTCGCGCGCCCCCGTCCCCGCGGACTGGGGGAGGCGCCCTGGGAACACGCCCTCGCCACTAAAGAGAGACAAAACCATACACTCGCCATGGTGGCGCCACGTACACATTCAGAATCACATTATCACTATAAACTTAAATGACTGACATCTGACAGATGACGTATAATTTTTTTTTTCGAAGGCAAAGATTTTACACATTCATCCAAGAAGGTTTTATATGTTAATATAATATATTAAATTCGTCCTTTGAGACGCTTGTACGGTTGGTAAGGGATAGCGGGAGATGAGACGTAGAACATCTCTCTGGACCAGCCAGCCTCCGAGGGACGTCCTACACGAGGTTACTTATTAAAGTTAGATTGACGATGATGAAATTAAACTGGGAATTGACTGACTGTTTCAGATGAGGTTACGTTAACGAATTAATAATAACGTTTGTTAACTTGTCAAAGCGTTAGCGGTTAACTGGCGACTTTAACTATGATTACGATATTATACTAACTGAAGTTTATCTGCGGTAATATTGTTAATATATATATAATATATATGTATGTAATGTATATAATATATATTATACAGTAAATAGACGAGTTTCAAATTGTTTTTTTCCAACATATATGTATATGTATTGAACATTTAGAATTAAATGTTTCTAAAAATTTGCAACGATTAAGATACAAGTAGGTACTTATACACATATAAAAAACAAATTTTAATACTGATTTTGCTTTATTTTTCTAAATTTTTACCAAAAGAAAAATATCCAACTATATTTACTTGTAGAGAAAGGTTTCATAAAATTTAAAGTATTTTTAGGTAGATATACGTTATCATAAAACTTATCATCTTTATATATATTCTTTTATACACATCTTGATCTCATTTTTAAATGAAGAGATAATAAATACTTTTTATATATCAAAGCGAAACGTCTATGTATGTAGGTATAAATGTATGTATGTATGTATGCAAATACTGTAAAAAAACTTTTTTATTCTTATATTGTAAATTAAATGCAACTGGTAACACAATAACATTTGCATTATTTTTACTTTATTTATTTATTCTTAGAAATTAAAACACTCTGTATAGTCGAAATTAGATACTAGTAGTTACTTGATATATATAAGATCTGTACATAGTATTGTTTCCGCATATTAATAAAAAATACTACTTCATTATATTCGCCTTATTTATTATATATTTTTTTTAATATTTTATACAACCTAGCAACAGGTAGCCTATTAATATATTAACAATATATATACATAACTAACAATATAAAATCGTTTATATAGCGTGTTAAAAAAAACACCGAACCTTCATCAAGGCTTCAACAAGTTGAACCTCTGGGCAGCTGGGAGGTCTCTGGGGCCGCCCTGGCCACGCCCACAGACACGCCCACCAGAGAATACTTGATATATTGAATGATCGATATTATTCCGACAAGTAAGTAAACACATCTTAGAAGCACAGAGAGTTTATATATAAAGATAAGAAATGTACTGAGTCTATATAAGTATCTAACACTATGAGTAGGTAGTCTATATATGTTTAATATATGAATTAAACTCAGATAAAGCTGTTAGGTTAAAGTTTAAAGGTTAAAAGTTCCTTTACACAAGTACGGAGAAACTGCTTTTTGAAGGTTATATTTTAAAATTTTACTTCATATACCTATGAAACAAATAAAAGTTTTAAACAGAAAAGCTCAAAATATAATAATTACTTCAGTAAAAAGTTCATAAATTCAATAATTATTTAAGTGCTTGAGATTTTTTTTTTATTTCTAAACGTGATCGTTGTAAATCTCCTTTTTTCAAATTTCTAAACGCAAAAAGTCAAACGTCATAACGACATCTGATATACATAGAACAAAATTCACAAATCCCGTTTGTTATTTCCTAGCTGTTGTTAATTTGCATACATAATGCGCTTCCTCCGTACCTTAGACAGAACAATGGATCTAGATGGAAGCATCACAATTAGGACACCATTGTGTTACTAAACTAGAATAATCTGTAGGGAAATGTGATTTAGAAAGCTGAATTATAATTATATAGAACGTATATTATATATATTCAATATAAGCAATGTCTTTTTTAACAAAAAATTCACGGATCATTGATACGTTACGATCCCAAGGAAAATTTAATGCCTCTCCAATGCTACTTCATTTTAATTCGAAGCCTTAAGTCAGCTTTAAATTACGCTTTTTGCTTATAACACCCTCGACGGCTGTCCCGGTTTAGGGCATCCGATACTTTTTCTAGTGCGAAGTAACATTGTACCTTTAGGCGACCCCAGGGGGTGATTCTGGACCCTTAACGTTTACGACTACCCGATTGCTTTTCTATGAAGGGCCTGGAAATGATCGCGACAAAAACAGCTGGTGATTCTGATAGTTCGGATTAGCTTCCCGACTCATTGCTTTTATTACTTCCTGACCACTTCACTTGACTTCTGACGTCTAGTTTGATAGGTAATTTATGGTCCACTTCAAATGTGTGAAATTAATATATCCTTGTATTGAGTGTTACCAGAAATTAGTTTTTTTTTTGCATTTTTTTAATACACATGTCAGCCAGGAAGATTGCGATTTATTATTTTTAATCATCTGCCATTTCATTTATACATAAGTTAAATATATATATATATATACAGGTATATGGAACTATAACAATATCACATTCATATGCATACAAAATATATGGTTGTCTAAATTTAAACAGTTTAACAAAAGTCAACATTACGAGCACATTTACATATAATATATTAAATAAGCAAATAGCTAAATGTCGACATAAAAACAAAATCATAAAACCACAGATTAGTATATTAAATAAAACGGGTAGTGAATAAAAAAAAGGCTCATGCTGTGACAGTAAATTTGCCAAACATTTTGACATAAAAGAACATTTGTAGACAAGAAAAGGTGTTCAGTAGGCCTTTGGCTGACCGCAGTCTCACAATGACGCCGCCTCAAACACAGTAAGCACTTACTGTATTGTAATCATGTTTCTTGGATTTCATGACAAATAACTGTATTCGTATAAGGATGCATGAGTTTGCGAAATGCTTGCATTGTTTTTGTTGGTATTGACTTTAAGATTTTAACACATTGAATATAAATTTCTATAAGAAAGAACATGATTTCTGTCTTTAGTGATTTACGAAATGCTTTATTGAAAGTTCTTTATAAGTGATGTGAAAAAGTATTATTTTTAGATGTTACAAAAAATTATAGGCCAACCTCTAATAAAATCATTTAAAATAAGCAGTCTGTTCTAATATTACTTATTTATTATTTGGAAAATAAATATTTATATAAATATATTACAAAATGAATGAATTATGTACATATTCGTAAATATATGTATTTACATTAGTATGTTCCTTTCGATTTTATACAAAATATAAGCAAAATAAAAAGAATGTGAAAATAAAACCGAATTATATCATTTTAATAATTGATTTGTAACCTGTCGTTTAAATTTTTTCCAGCAATGGTGTTCTCAGGCAGACGAGATAAAATAATACCATCCGAAACTTAGACATAAATTCAAAAACAAAATTATTAAAAAAAAACCTTATTTCACTCACAATAATTTCGTTTAACCCGAAGCGGTAAAATTTGAGAGTAAATATGAAATTTCATAAGTTTAGGTTGACAGAAAAAATGACACGTATTAAGAAAAACCAAATTCGGTGGCGTACTAAATAAATAATAAGCTTGCAAATCCATTTGCCGGAGTTTCAACATTTTTTTCGTTCCATTACAGCGGTACGATGGCAATTTGAAAATATTGAATAAGTAATATAATGCTTCCCGAAATATGAACATAGATTATAAAAATAATTGCAGAATAATCTTTTTAAAATATACCTATTTCAACAAAATGTGGTACAAATTACTATCAAATTGTATGGTAGTTTTCGTATTGAAATAAAGTTTTTGAATCATAACTTTGTATAACAAAATGATAATTCGATATCAATTGTAAAGTATCTTGTTATATATTAAAATTGCTTCTATTACCCTTTAATTTCTCCCTTCTCCAAAGCCAGCTGTAATGCGACATGCAAACGTGAACTATAGAAATTTGGGTTAGTAATAGTTTTAATTCAAAGAACTTTAAAATGTGCTTGAATATGTTAAAATTATTTGATTAAATTAAATGTCATATCTGCTTCATTTATTCTATGATCTCTACTGATATGGCAAGAGCTAAACGCATTATGAGGAGTTTTCTCTCGTTTATTATTGTACAGCTGTCAAAATTACTTTTCAAAGTGCGGTGAGCTTGATTTAAAATATGTATACTGTCGGTACGAATTTTGTCTTTCTATTCTCACTTTACTAAGTGCTTAATGAGAATTTTAACCCTTTTTGCTGTCTTCGTTACGAAATATTATACTTTGAAGTAATAAAATATTAAGATTTTGTAAAGAAAAACAAGTTTTGCAACTGATTTTAGTCTTAATAAACTCAAAAAGGAATACAAATTAGAACAATTTGAATTAAATAAAATTTAAAATCTTTTGAATTTACACTTCGTTTATAAATATAAAAAACATTGGGAATTCTTTATTCTTTTTAAAACAAATAATATCAATATTTTTTTATTTTTGTTTTATATATTACATTTTAAACACAAACAATAGTCGGGATATGTAAACTGACGATTTTCTACACGTTTAAAATCATAATATTTTCCATATAGAAATTATGCATTACAGATTAAACAACAAAAAACCTATACGATTTACGTCATTTCGGCGTATATTTGCTTAAAAATTAAAATAACAATATTTTTAATGAATGCTATCGTTAAATTTATTGACTTAAGGTTTTTATATATTGTACTGAATACCATATGCAAAACCAAATACCACAATATGTTTCTTATAATAAAAAAATAAATTAAAACTTTTACTCCAGCTTTTGTTTAACTTGTGATATATTTGTATTAGTAAAATCTTTGGAGTTAGTTTAGAAGGACATATCTTTAAGAGACTTGTCTTAAATTTTTGTAAAGGTATGTGTGTAGTTGGAATAAGAATTAATGGTTAGGTAT